GGCAGCACTATGGGAGGCCCGTAATCTGCCAGCCAACCCTATGTCAAAAAATTCAACACACCAGCAGTGTGTGAGGAGACCTGAAAGTGGCACATGGCCAGAGTGTGGCGATGTGAGACAGCGAGCAATGGGAGGGCCGTACAGGACCCATGAGAAGACCTCTGGACCTGGCAGCAGCATGAGGAGGCGTATATAGGGGCCCATGGCAATTAGGGCCTGGCAGCAGCTATGGGAGGCCCGTAATCCTGCCAGCACCCCTATGTCAAAAAATTCTAACACACCGCAGTGTGTGAGGAGAACCTGAAAGTGGCACATGGCAGAGTGTGGCGATGGGAGACAGCAGCAATGGAGGCCGTACAGGACCCATGACAGACTCTGGACCTGGCAGCAGCATGAGGAGGCGGTATATAGGGGCCTATGGCAGATTAGGGGCCTGGCAGCAGCTATGGGAGGCCCCGTAATCTGCCAGCACCCTAATGTCCAAAAAATTCAACACACCAGCAGTGTGTGAGAGACCTGAAAGTGGCACATGGCAGAGTGTGGCGATGGAGACAGCAGCAATGGGAGGCCGTACAGGGAACCCATGAGAGACTCTGGACCTGGCAGCAGCATGAGGAGCGGTATGATAGGGGCCCATGGCAGATTAGGGGCCTGGCAGCAGCTATGGGAGGCCCGTAATCTGCCAGCACCCTATGTCAAAAAATTCAACACACCAGCAGTGTGAGGAGTTACCTGAAAGTGGCACATGGCGGAGCTTGTGGCGAATGGAACAGCACAATGGGAGGCCGTAACAGGGACTCCCCATGTCGAGACACTGGGACCTTGGCAGCAGCCATGAGAGTGAGGATGGTAACAGGGGCCCATGGCAGATTAGGGGCCTGGCAGCAGCTATGCCCTCGGAGGCCCGTAATCTGCCTCGATCCCAGCACCCTATGTCAAAAAATTCAACACACACCAGCATGTGTGAAGAAGACCTGAAAGTGGCACATCGGCAGAGTGTGGCGATGGAGACAGCAGCGCAATGGAGGCCGTACAGGGACCCATGAGAGACTCTGGACCTGGCATTCAGCATGAGGAGGCGTATATAGGGGCCCATAGGCAGATTAGGGCCTGGCAGCAGCTATGGAGGCCCGTAATCTGCCAGCACCCTATGTCAAAAAATTCAACACACCAGCAGTGTGAAGAACCTGAAAGTGGCACATGGCAGAGTGTGGCGATGGAGACAGCAGCAATGAGGCCGTACAGGGACCCATGAGAGACTCTGGACTTGGCAGCAGCATGAGAGGCGGTATATAGGGGCCCATGGCAGATTAGGGGCCTGGCAGCAGCTATGGGAGGCCCGTAATCTGCCAGCACCCTATGTCAAAAAATTCAACACACCAGCAGTGTAGAGACCGTGAAAGTGGCAACATGGCAAGTTGGCGATGGAGACAGCAGCAATGAGGCCGTAACAGTGACCCATGAAACTCTGGACCTGGCAGCAGCATGAGGAGGCGGTATATAGGGGCCCATGGCAGATTAGGGGCCTGGCAGCAGCTATGGGAGGCCCGTAATCTGCCAGCACCCTATGTCAAAAAATTCTACACAACCACAGTGTGTGAAGAGACCTGAAAGTGGCACATGGCAGAGTGTGGCGATGGAGACAGCAGCAATGGGAAAGGCCGTACAGGGACCCATGAGAGACTCTGGACCTGGCAGCACATGAGGAGGCGGTATATAGGGGCCCATGGCAGAATTAGGGGCCTGCAGCAGCTATAGGAGGCCCGTAATCTGCCAGCACCCTATGTCAAAAAATTCAACACACCAGCAGTGTGTGAGGAGACCTGAAAGTGCACATGCAGAGTGTGGCGATGGAGACAGGCAGCAATGGAGCCGTAACAGGACCCATGACAGACTCTGGACTTGGCAGCAGCATGAGAGGCGTATATAGGGCCCATGGCAGATTACGGGGCCTGGCAGCAGCTATGGAGGCCCGTAATCTGCCAGCACCCTATGGTCAAAAAATTCAACACACCAGCAGTGTGTGAGGAGACCTGAAAGTGGCACATGGCAGAGTGTGGCGATGGAGACAGCAGCAATGGGAGGCCGTACAGGGACCCATGAGAGACTCTGACCTGGCGCTCAGCATGAGGAGTGCGGTATAATATAAGGCCCATAGGCAGATTAGGGGCCTGGCAGCAGCTATGGAGGCCCTAAAAAAAAAAAAAAAAATAATCTGCCAGCACCCTATGTCAAAAAATTCCACACACCCGCAGTGTGATGGGAGACCTGAAAGTGGCACATGACAGAGTGTGGCGATGAGACTGCAGCAACGGTAGGCCGTACAGGGACCCATTGACAGACTCTTGGACCTGGCAGCAGCAAGAGGAGGCGGTATATAGGGGGCCCAAGGCAGATTAGGGGCCTGGCAGCCAGCATCTATGGGAGGCCCGGTAATCTAGCCCAGCACCACTATGTCAAAAAAATTCAACAAACAACACAGTGTGAAGAGACCTGAAAGTGCACATGGCAGAGTGGGGGGCGATGGAGACAGAAAGCAATGGGGGGCCGGGAACAGGGACCCAGAGAGACTCGGGACCTGGAAAGCAGCATGAGGGGGCGGTAAAAACAGGGGCCCATGGCAGATTGGGGGCCTGGCAGCGCTATGGGGGGCCCGTAATCTGCCAGCACCCTAGCCCAAAAAATTAAAAACACACCAGCAGTGGGAGGAGACCTGAAAGTGGCACATGGCAGAGGGGTGGCAAGGGAGACAGCAGAAAATGGGAGGCCGTACAGGGACCCATAAGACCTGGACCTGGGGGAAAGCGCATGAAAAAGGGGGAAACATAGGGCCCTTTGGGCAGTTTAAGGGGCCGGCAGCAGCTATGGGGCCCGTAATCTCCCAGAAACCCTATGTAAAAAAATTTCCCAACACCCAGAAATGTAGGAGCCCCTAAATGGCAAAAGGGCAGGGGCATGTTTCAGGGCGGATTTAGCCCGTTGTGCCCGGGAACTGGGGGTTTTTGGAAACCCGACTAAACCCCCCCCGCCTGAATTTTCTTTTCAAAAAGGGGTGAGTCTCCCAAAACTTTGGGTGGCCCAACTGTCCCCGCGAGTTACAATACCTCCTGCCGCACTAAAAAAACCGCGCTCCGATCCCACCTAAAGCCCTAGCAAAACAGCCTTTCAAGGAAAATTTCACTAGTTGGGGCCCAAAAGGCCCAAGTTTCGTTCCCCCGGGTAGTAAAGGGGGATTGTCTCCCCCGGTTGGGCAGGGTGCTGCCCCAAGTGGGCCCCAAAGGGGCCTTTGTTTGAGGCCCCTGCCCAGGGCCACCTGATCGCTGCTGCGCGGCTGGTTAGTATTTCCTCCGGGGCTGGTGAAAAAAAGCTAAATCATCATCGACTGCAGACTGAGGCGCCGTTTTTTTTGGGGGGAAACTGCCACTGCTCCCACCACCCCAAACCCCCCCCCCGCTGCCATGCAGCGGAACGGGGAGCGCACAGGGCCCACATGTCCCGAGGATGGACGTTTTACGCACAAAGGCAGAACCAACTGACTACATAGGGGGTTTTTATAGTACGTTTTTTTGGCCTCCCTCTCAAACAGGTTAAAAAGGCCAAAAAACCCTTTTTTTTGAACGGTAAACGGGGTCCCCCAAAAAGGGTGGACAGCCAAAAAATCATCCCCTGTCTGATGCTTATTAAATTTGGCCCGTCGCACAACCCAAAAAACCCGGGGCATGCTAGGGGGCCCTTTTTTGGGCCCAAAGGGAAGCAGGGAAAAATTTCCCCGCCCCATCTCCACAAACAAACTGCCCTCGGGGCGTCCCCGGTCCCTTTCTCCTCCTCCTCCTCCCTACCCAAGCCCTGCTCCTCCAACCCCGTCCCCCTGATGGGGAAAAAACCCCCCATTTCACTTCCCAAAATTCCCTTTAGCACAAATGTCCCCCCTTTTACCTCCTCCTCTTCTTTCCCGTCCGCCCCCCCCAGGGTCCTGGGCAAATTGGGGATCTGTGCGCCACCCTCTAAACCCCACCCCGACCAGCCATTGTTAAAAAGCAATTTTTTCCCGGACGTTTCAACCCGAGGAATGACGTTTGTTTATCCCCTAGTCCTTGGGCCCACTCCAAAGAATAGCGTGGCCTCCTCAAAGGGGCCCGAGCCCAAAAAGGCAGGGGGTCACGCATGAGCTGCCAAAGGCTAACATCAAAGTTAAAAACAGGGAGTACCCTTTTTCCCTTGGAACAAACCCGGGAAAACGGTGATGGCCTTTCGCTGTTCGAAAAAGGGGGTTCCTTAAAAATTTTTGTAGGGGTTTAAATTTCCCCCTTGTTGGGAACGGCGCAGATCAGGCGATGCGGCAATTCCCGTTCTCCCCCTTTCACTCAAGAGGGGGTGCTTTTTCGGTGGGAGGGAAAGGGTAAAATCATGGGAAAGTTTTTCCGTGACATTTTTAAAGGGTGTCTTTCAAATGGATGGTGGAATTTTTGGAACCGCTTGACAAACCCGATTGAACCCCGTGAGCCATGCATGGCGCATGGGCACAACCTTCCCTTGATGCGCATGAGCAGAACCCTACTAAACCCAAGTTCTTCTCTCCGTTTGATCGTTCAACATAGGTTCCGATTTTCAGTTTGTCGCGTAGACAGCCATATGTCGATTTCTCTTTCATCTACACTCAGAAAGTTATCCTCCCCTGTGTGACAACGTTCGCCAAGGCATACCAGAGTGCAGCCAGCGTGACACCGATGCGCCCAGCACATGAGATATTTCCAGACGGGGTACTGGGAACTTGTGGCACGGGGGTGAGCTGGCTGAGGACAACGGCGGAAGAAGATGGTTGTAAGGCGGACATACCTTGCCGAGGACCAAGGACGTGGTCAAACGTGGAGGCAAAAAGCCTCGTGGACCTTACCAAGTTGCTGGTGCGGGCTTGCCGGCAAACCCCGTTCCCCCCCAGTGGGCCGAAAAAGACATGTTTCTGGGCCCTGACCGTAAATTACAAGCCCACAAAGCCGGGGCTGCCGGGCACTTTTTGGCCCGAAAACCGACATGCTCAAAAACGGCCCCCATTTTCTTCACAGAAAAGCAGGGGTGGCACTGCCTTTTTTTGGGGAAGAAATGACCGGGTTGGCACTCCCCCACCCCCGGGCGCGGCC